ACGCGCTCGAGCATGAAGATGAAGTGCTGGTTCTGGCGGGGCGAGACGTCGGTGTTCTGCCTGCCCGGGTTGAGGTAGTGGCACGGCCTCCCCTCCTTGTCGTAGCCGACGATGATCTGCTTGCCCGTCTCGTTCTCGGGCGAGATGTGATCCCAGGTCAGCACGTCTTCGACGCCGTACTCGCGGCGCCAGGTAAGGGTGTCGAGCAGGCGCTTCTCGGCGTCCTTCTGGTTCCATTTCGTGGCGCGCAGGTAGCGGAGGAGACAGTCCCGGGTGAGCCAGAAGCGCTCGTTCTCTGTCAGGGGGCCGGCTTTGCCTTTGGTTGAGGGGACCTCTGTCCACGACTTGGCCTGCTCGAGGAGCCAGTCGTACTTCTTTTGTTGGTCGGCGGACAGGGGCGGGTGTTCCTTGGGGCGGCTGGTCGTCGATGTTGGTACGGGGTACGGCGTTTTCAAGGGGCCGGATCCCTTCTCTGGTAGTCCATTTTGTGTGGTGGTATCGGGCTGGGCTACAGTGGTGGCCATATTCGGTGCCGTATATCAGAGAATCAACCGAATATTATCAAGGTACCTGTGGAAGAGACGCTTTTTATGCACTCAGTCAAAGTCAACGGTAGAAGCCTCAATTGCACACAGAAACGGTCTATGCCAAGCCAGATTATATGCGTGTTCAGCCAGGTAAAGCAATCCTGCGATGTCTATGTTATAAAGGACAGCAGAAGGAGAATGAGACAGAGAGAGAGGTTATGAGATCACAAGCCAAAATTAAATCATCATAGCCCAGAGTTCAAGGACCCCTGAAACACTGAAACGAATAAGCCAATGGAGGACTTCTTGGCTCCGATAAGCGCCAATTTGTGGTTACACACCCGCTAACGAAGAAGAGTTTAGCGCACCGGGACACCACTTTACGCGCAACGGCGCGTCGGCGCGTCTCGCATCAAATATTGATTTGTCTCGTCTTCAACACACCCCGCCATTGCCTTGACCTCAGCATCGGAGATCAACTACAGGCCAATTGTACAGTCTTGCGGACAGCAGTCAAGATGGCAGACCCTGTAGCAGCAGAGCTGAACGAGAAGTTCGGCAGCGGAGGGAAGCAGCTGCAGCCAGACGTGGTGGCCGAGCTGCAGTCCATCATGCGCCTCCACGAGTTGTCGCCCGAGGATCTGTGGTTCAAGTGGGAGTCGTACTCGATGAAGATGGACATGGAGGGCAACAACGTCTCGATGATCACCCTCAGAGCTTTCAAGCAGGACCTCCAGGACGCCCTCGAACGTACCAACCGGACCCAAGCCCACGTCAAGTCTGAGAAGCGCATCGGCGCAACACCGCGGACAGTTACCAAGAACGGCGATGTCTTTGGCATCCTCGACAGCCTCGTGCCCGGCACACCCGGCGTGGGCAAGCACAAGCTTTCTTCGACGAGGAAAAGACAGTTCGAGACCCCGTCACTGTCGCGAATCAAGGGAGAGCACCCCGGCAGCTCGCCGGACAACAAATCGTCGCCTATGCGCCTCGAAGACCGCATGAACGATCTAGGTGTCCTCCCACCGTCGTCCTTCAACGACCGCCAGAAACCGGGCGAGGTGATCGAGGTCCTTAACGACCACCTGCCTGCCGCTGAGCACCCCATCGCACCATTCGGAGAGCCGCGAGTCAAGCTCACCGCGCAGTCGGAGCAAAAGAAGCTCGCATACAAGACATTGGCTATGAGGGTACTAGAAGCTTCCGAGGTTCTAGACGACCGCATAGACAACATGAGAAAGCTAGTAGAAGAGCATCACCAGCTCGACGAGTCTGCGTTCGGCAATGCCGCCGACCAGAGCACAACCGAAATTGTCGCCGTCGGGCGCATAGCGTCGGACTCGCCAGAGGGCAGGATAAACACTGCCTCCCTCCTCCTCGAAATGTCCAGGCGCACAGGCAACGGCCGAAGGATACCCCTGAACCTAGACCAACTACGCGGTCGCTACAGCTTCTTCCCCGGCCAGATCGTCGCCGTCAAAGGCAGCAACACCTCGGGCAAGGAATTCACGGTCAAGGAAATCCTCGAGATCCCCCTCCTCCCCAGCGCAGCCTCCTTCCCAACCGATATTGAAGGCCACAGGGAAAGACTGCGCGGCGGGCCCGACGCAATGGACTCGGACACGGAACCCATCCCCCTAAACATCATGTTCGCCTCCGGCCCCTACACAGCCGACGACAACCTCGACTTCGAGCCCCTGCATGCCCTCTGCAGCCAGGCAGCCGACACCTACGCCGACGCCCTGGTTCTAACCGGGCCCTTCATCGACATATCCCACCCGCTCATTGCCTCCGGCGACTTCGACCTCCCCGAAGAAGCAACCGTTGACCCAGACACGGCCACCCTCAACACGGTATTCAAGTACATGGTCTCCCCGGCCCTCAACGGCCTAGTAGCAGCCAACCCGCACGTCACCATCCTCCTGGTGCCCTCGATCCGCGACGCGATAGACAAGCACGTCTCCTGGCCGCAGGACGCCTTCCCGCGCCGCGAGCTCGGCCTGCCCAAGTCGGCCCGCATCATCGGCAACCCCATGACGCTGAGCATCAACGAGATGAACCTGGGCGTCTCGTCCCAGGACGTGCTCTTCGAGCTGCGCAGCGAGGAGCTCGTGGGGCCCAGGCCTGCGGACGGCAGCCTGCTGAGCAGGCTGAGCAAGTACGTCGTCGAGCAGCGGCACTACTTCCCGCTGTTTCCGCCGGCGGACCGCAAGAGGCTGCCGAGGGTGGGTGCGGGCGATGGGAATCCGCCGGGCGCGAGTCTGGATGTGGGGTATCTCGAGTTGGCTGAGATGGTGCATAGCCGGCCGGATGTGCTGCTTTTGCCTAGCTCGTTGCCTCCTTTTGCTAAGGTATGTCTATCTAATATGTCTATCTAAGACACAGACTTTGGAGGAGTGAATGCTAATTATGGATAGGTTGTGGAAAGCGTACTGGTTATTAACCCAGGATTCTTGTCCAAGCGCAGGGGCGCTGGCACGTACGCTCGGATGACGCTGGCCGCACCAAAGGTTGAGGGTGCCGAGCTCAGTGAGGGAGGACTAATGGGACACAAGATCTACGAGAGGGCAAGGGTGGAGATCACTAGGATTTAGGAAGTGAATGATGGATGACACTGCATGGCTGGAACTGGATGGGTATCAGGTTTGGTATTGTAGTATGTGCAGCACCGTCGAATGCATAGTTATGATCATGATGATCCAGCCTATCTGGCATCCACTCTCCGTCGCTTGTCACTCTCGTAGCGATCATGGTCTCGGGACGACTCTCTCTTCCGCCGTTCACGGTGGTCGTCCCTGTCACGGTGCCTTTCGCGGCTTCCGTCTCGGTGGCGATCCCGGCGCGGTGACCTCGACCTGGATCTTGACCTCCGCCTGTCTCGGTCATCATCTCTCGGGCGATAGCTGCTGTCCCTATCCCGCCTTTCTCTGTCTCCTCGTGGTCCCTCAGGAGCACCAGGAACCGCCTTCCGATCCCCAAGCGGAATGGCATTAGAGCCCTTCGGCCCCTCTCCATCCCTCCCACGATCCCGATCCCGATCCCGATCGTGATCGGGCTGAAACCTCTCGTCCAAATTCCTATCAAACGCCCTCCTCGGCCGCCCATCATCCAACTCGCCCCACCGTCCGGTATCCTCACTCTTCAAATCCCTGTACTTCGTAGCCCCCTTCTTGCCCAGCTTCGTCATGTCCCTCATCTGCAGCGCCTGGGGCAACAGATCGCGATTCTTGACATCATCCGCAAACCTAGCCCCCATGATATCCCGCCTATCCAGCCCTTGCTCGTGGCTCTCGTCTTGGTAGAAGGCGCCCTTGTGGAAGTACTTCTGCAGATACGCCATCTTGCCGCGCCCCTCCTTCTCCTCCTTCTGCCTCGCGATCCACGCCTCGTCCTCGGCCTTCCTCTCCTCCTCCGTCAAGTTCCGCCTCCGCTCAATCTCCTCCCTCTCCCGCTCCCGCTCCTCGATCGCCTCCCTCTCCCGCCGTATCCGCTTCAGCTCCCTCAGCTTCCACGCCGCGTACTCCGCCTCCGGGTCGACGCCGTCCGTGTCGTCCACCTCCTCGCCTTCCTCCTCGGAATCCTCCCAGTGCTTCTTCCCCGCCGCCCGGGCGGCGAGCCGTTTGGCAATCTGCTCCTCCACCAGCGCGTCGGCGGCCGCTTTTCTTCTTGCGTCCTCGGCGGCAGCAGCTTCTTCCGCGGCCCTCTCGGCATCCTCTCCCGCCTTGGCCTCGGGACCGCCGCCATCCCGAGCAGACTTGGGGATGAACTTGGGCCGCATCATCAACCGCCTGGGCGCTTCCTCTTCAGAGCTCTCCTCCTCGCTTCCACTTTCCTCACTGCCACTCTCCTCCTCTTCACTTTCTTCTTCCTCATCCTCAGTAACAAACCCCTCCTCCCTCGCCCTCCTCTCAGCCTCAGCCCTCGCCTTCGCAGCAGCAGCCCGCCTCTTCTCCTCCTCGCCCTTATAATCAATCTTCTTGCCGGCGCCGACGCTGAGTATCCTTCCCGCGCTGGGCGCTTTGGGCGGCGGGGCGATCGGTTTCCGGGCCGCCGCGGGCTTCTTCGTGGTCTCTTGTTGTTCGTCGCCGCTGTCCGAGTCTGAGGAGTTGGACTCCGCGCCCGTCGGTTTCCCGGCGCGGTAGCGCGCGGGTTTGACCGGGTTGGCGGTCATGCGCTTGGGGGGCGGCATTATGTGTGGTTTTCAAGGTGGTATGTGGATGTGTGGGTGTGTGTGGAGGAGTTGGAGGTGGGTTGTTGTTTGTTGTGTGTGAGGGGCGTGTTTGGCAGTTCGGAGCTTCACATGCAGGAACGGCAGATTATTTATTAGAAGCTCTGGCTGTTGCCCCACGAAAAGCTACAGCGAGGTAACATCCACCCGTACGAAAGTGGGGCGCCGCACGCTAAACCGTACTGAAGCAAGTGCTCCAGCATACGCCTTCCATGATCACCGATAAGGCCAAATTTACTTTCCACGGCGGAATGGCCGAGTGGTCTAAGGCGAGTGACTTAAGATTTTTATCATACTTCACTTTCTCGAAAGAGAGCGTGGGTTCGAACCCCACTTCCGTCACTTTTTGCTTCTTTGGACTGTCTTGCTGTTCTAGGGGATATCTGTCTTTATAGTCTTCTTATTGTTTTTGGTATGATTGAAACAGTGGTTGATGTTTGACAGGCTTCATCAACATGCGATGTGGAAGTTGAGGGGAGCTATCTCTTTGATCGGATGTATAGCACTGGTAGACTTGGGTAAAAGCTGTCGAGTATACTCCCATTATGCTATGTATATGCCGAGATTATAGTGTACAAAAGAATAGAGCAGAGTAAGCAGGGTATCACAGAAATGTACACCAGATGCTTTTAGTCAGACCGGCCACCCCAACACCTCACGCCTTATCCTCCTTGGCCGGGTGCTCAGCTTCCGTCTCCCACTCCCGCGTCGCCTTATCCGCCTCTCCGTGCACACTCTTGTCATCCCCGACGGTGCTGACGTGCTCGCCCCTCTCGGAAGCAAGCGTCCTGTCCTCCTCGATGTCCGTCTTGTTCCCGTCCTCCACGTCCTTGGCCTTCCCCTCCTCCGCCTTGGCAGCGGCGTCGCCGTTCTTCTTGGGCGCATTCTTCTTCACGCTCCGCCACTCCAGACTCACCGATCCGAATATCACCAGGCAAGCCATGATCAGGCCGACCTGGAACACCTTCCGCAGACTCTCGTTGTACCCGTACAGCACCGGCCCTCTCAGATTAGCCGGCAGGCTCTGGATAAGCGTCGTGGCGCCGGTGGTCTGCAGCAGCGAGGCGTCGAATCCCGGCAGCGAAGACAGCCGCTTGATCAGTTCGGAGTTGAGCACGTTCTGTCCCACCGAGGTGAAGATGGCGCCGCCCAGCAGCTGGCTGAAGAACATCAGACTCGTGCCGACGGGCACGTCGCGGTTGTGCAGGACCGTCTGGGCCGCCAGGTTGGGGGCCTGGAAGGTGCAGCCCATCCCGATGCCGTAGACGACCTGGTATCCGATCCACTTCCCGCTGCTGCTGTCGACTTGCAGCGTGGTCAACAGCCCGCAGCCCACGGCCATCACGCAGTTGCCGAAGATCATGGGCGGGGTGTAGTACCCCACCCTGGACACGATGACGCCCGTGGCGATGGAGGCGAAGACCATGGGCAGCAGCATGGGCAGGAGTCGGATACCGCTGTCGACGGCGTTGACGCCCTTGATGGCCTGGAACCAGATGGGCAGGAAGTAGACGAAGATCATCATCTGCGAGCCGATGCAGAGCGTGGCCCAGGCGCCGGCCATGATGCTGCGCTGCTTGAATATGCGAGGAGGCACTGTCGCTGTGTCGGGCTTGTAGATCTGCACCACTACGAATGTGATAAGGAGGACGAAGGCTAGGACCAGGAGGGCGATGATGCGGCCTTCGTGCCACTGTGTCGTTGTTAGCAGGCAAACTTTATTATGAATTCAAGGGCGAAGAAGGATAAAACTTACTGGATACTTAGACCCTCCCCATTGGAGCGCGAGCAACAGACAGACGACTCCGGGAAGGAACACCGCCGTGCCAATAGCATCAAGCTGAGCCAGCTTGCTGCGCAGCGACTTCTTCGTCTCCTCCCGCTCGGGGATATGCAACAAGAAGAACAACATCACGATGGCAACACCGCCGAACGGCAAGTTGATGTAGAAGCACCAGCGCCACGTAACCTTGGAGGTAAACGCGCCGCCTAGCAGCGGGCCGACGACGGACGAGATGCCGAAGATGGCGCCGAACAGACCCTGGTACAGCGGCCGCTTGTGCAGCGGTACCGAGTAGATGAGGATGACGATGGCGCCCGACATGATGCCCGCCGATCCCAGGCCAGCCACGGCCCGGCCGACGATAAAGGCGACCGAGTTGGGCGCAGCGCCGCAGATGGCGCTGCCGACCTCGAAGAGGGCGACGGCAGTCAGGAACACGGCCTTGATGCTGAAGAAGGTGTACACCTTGCCGTACATGAGTTGGAAGGCCGAGTTGCTCAGCAGGTAGGCGCTGCCGTACCAACCAATGTCGGTAACGGAGTGGAAGTCGTCCGTGATCTGCGGGATGGCCGTCGAGATGATGAGTCTGTCCAGCGACACGAGGAACATGCTGACGAAGATGGAGGCGAGGAGGAAGCCGAGCTTGAAGCCCGAGGGGTAGACGATGTCCTCTGTCGCTGTTGTCCTGACTTGCGCTAGGTTTTCTGGCTGCTCCTCCTCATCTTGCATGGCTCGCTCTTTTTCTGAGAGGACCGCATCTTGGGTTGTTGCGCGGTCGGCTGGGGTTGGTTGGATGTCTGCGTTGCCTGCTGCGCTGGCGAGGTCGTCGCCTTTCTTTTCTTTTCGTTTGAAGAACATCTTGTGATGGTTCTGCCGGTCTGAAATATAAAGCTGTGCAGTCCGAAAGTTTGGAATTGTATAAGTGTAGTAGGAAAAAGACCGGTTGGTCACGGTGTAAGTCGTCAATCTCTTGGCGAAACGAGAAGCTCGGTTTGATATCTGAAATTAAGACGTGATGAGCGAGAACGAGATGTGAGTATTGAAGCCACGTATAAGTGGAATATTAGATGATTTGAAGATTAGATGAAGACTAGAGAAAAGGAGGTTCTCGCCGTCGGCGGCGGCGTCTTGCTTTTTTATTGATTTATATCTTGTACGTATTGGATGTCACATTGGGCGGCCCACCTCCACCACTGGTCACTAAGATGACATTACAGTTCGTTCCCTAAATGCTTAAACGAAGCAGTAGTACCACAGTAGGCCGGATTTTAACAGGCTCCGGCAGGGAGTTAAGCTTGTTACCGCTGGGTTGGGGTCGATAGTGGTGGCCCATGATGGCCCTAGGTAGAAATTCGATGGACAGTCCATCGCACCGGAGTTCTTGGCGACCCCGATCGAATCAGATAGACGCTTATCCCAGCTGTGGCCGGACGCCAAGTCCCCCGACCACCGATGCCAAAAGTTCCGGGCCCGTGGAATGCTCAGCTTTTGGGGGCCACTGTCCATCTCGGAACCGAATGCGATTGATCGAGCAACCGACTCGAGGATCTGGCTGGCAAATCTCCGCCGCTTAAGATCCGAGACCTGGACCGTCCGACCGTCCGTGGCCCTAACACCTTGCAACAAGACGAATGCCCGCTCGGACAGTCCTGTCCGAAGCAACTTAACAAGGGTGAATGAAGTCAGAAGTATGAGTCTCCGCGAAAATCTGCAATTCACGAAACACTCGTTTCTCTCCAATCCCCATTAGGACATGGGCAAGTCGTCAGCTGTTGCGTAAGGCAAGGTAGGCTGCTCCTGCAGGAATTCTCACAATAGGTGCCATGGAGCGCCAGACACGTCGAATGGGGCGTCAAAGAGTGAGTCAATCGGCCGTGTGCTACACGTGTACTATGCCGTAACATGCCAATTTGCTGGTGTGCTACTACATGTATGACTGGTTCCATGCGGCTGAAGCAGATTCATCCTTGATGACGACACCATGTCCATGTTCCTGGTATATCGCCGGCAATGTAGCCGTTAGTGTACAGTCATGCTCGGGATGCTAATGCAATTCCAACAAGTCAAGGTTCTGTTCCGAGACTTTCTCTCAAGGTACACCAGGGAACGGCCGGGTTACCGTGCGGCACATTCGACCGGTTTCGACCGATGTCCCCCAAGAAAGTTGGTGGCAGGTAAGATCGATACCCCCTAAAAATCAGGAGTGATCGAGACATAACCTGAATGCAACAAGATGGCAGTGCATAGGCTCACCGTGGCCCCAAAGTTCAGCAGCTTGTAATTTCTCGCATTTCGCTGGAGTGGAGTGAGCAACTCGTAGAGCGAACAGACAGCACCACCGTTGCGCCATGTTGACTTCCCCCATAGCAATATCAGACACATGTTGTACATTCAACCATGACCGCCTTCTAGGTCTATGTCGTATTTCGTCCTATCCAGACTGGGGCAACGGCTTGCCCTCGCAACCAGTGCGGATTTCTTGCTCTTACAGGTAGTTCCTCGTTGTGTCGTAATGTCGTTCTGGAGTGAGGATGTCTATAGAATAACATTGCCAGTGTGCCTGGGTGGCGGCTGACTTCCCCGTTTTAGGGGCTTGAGAGGGGAGAGACGCGAGTCCAAAAATTCTGTGCTGCATCCAGTCTCTACCATCCCGAGGGATTCATCCCATAATAGGGAGGCGGCATATCGTTCTGCCCGTTGATGGGCATGCCGGCAAACATATCCCAGTCTGATGAAGAGACGTCAAGGAATCCTCCCAGGAACTGATCGAAATTCGGATCAGGGCCGTCCAGCTGAGGCCGGCTCATAAAGTTCGGGCCCGTCCGCACCGGTGCAGTCGGCTCGGATTTGACATCCTCGCATGGCATGATACTCTGGAGCCTTTCAATACAGGGCGGTGTCGAAGGCACGTGCCCTGTTTTCCTGGATATCATGTCCTCTCTTTTGCTCCACGCCCTCAAGATAAACCGTGCAAGCATAAAGTAAGTCTTGTTGTTTGACGTGTCATAGAGCTCCGGATGGAAGTAATAGACGACTTCTACCTGCTTCCAAGCTCTGTCCACAAGCGCGCCGTCGAGCCGATGACAAAGTTGACCGGCAAGGTAGATAAAGACATCCAGCTGGAAGTGGAGCAGCGCATGCCATAGAAATCCTTTGTCTTTAGAAGCGTAGCAGTTCTCCTGTTCATGTTCCATGGCGCAGATGGCGAGCTTGAAGGCATTGTCGTTCGAGTCAAGGATCTCAGATCCCCACTCGGGTTGGTCCTTGGCCGAAGTGGCAAGCGCGCTGAGCTTCTTGATGATCTGTGCCTTGACTTCGACTGCCATTTCGTGCACTGGGCCAGCCGTGGGGTCGCAGTACTTGTTGAGCATATCCAGCATATCCTGCCCGAGGTGCGCAATCACCGTCCGAAACTCGTTGAGCTGAGGATTGGCAGCCGGCGCACCAGACCACTCCGCCAGCATGAGCATAATCTCAAGACCGGGCGTCTCCACCAGAAATCTAGCGACCTTGTTGGTTATCATCACGAATATCATTTCCGTTGGTCCATCCCGATCCT